GATTGTGTTGTTTGTAAACCTTGGTAATGAATGAATGAATAAAAAGTCACTCTCTTTCTCTTTATCTCTGTATCGCACTCTCTCACTGTATTTCTCTCTCTCTCTCTCTCACACACACTCTACATCTCTCTCTCTCTTTCTCACACATTCTACATTCTCTCTCACACACAAATTCTAACTCTCTCTCACTGTATCTCTATCTCTCTCACACATTCTACATCTCTCTCTCTCACTATATCTATATATTTCTCTCATAATGTATCTCCTCACACTCTCTTCCCTCTCCTCCTCCCTCCCTCCCTCCTCTCCCTCTCCCTCTCCCTCTCTCCCTCTCCCTCCCTCTCCTCTCCCTCCCTCTCCCTCCCTCCCTCTCTCCCTCTCTCCCTCCCTCTCCTCTCCTCCCTCTCCTCTCCTCCTTCCCTCCTTCTCCCTCTCCCTCCCTCCCCTCCTCTCCCTCCCTCCCTCTCTCTCCCTCTCTCTCCTCCCTCTCTCTCTCCCTCTCCCTCCTCCCCCCTCTCCTCCCTCCCCCCTCTCTCTCTCTCTCTCTCTCTCTCTCTCTCTCTCTCTCTCTCTCTTTCTCTTTTCTCTTTCTCTTTCTCTTTCTTTCTCTTCTCTTTCTCTTTCTCTTTCTCTTTCTCTTTCTCTTTCTCTCTCTCTCTCTCTTCTCTCTCTCTCTCTCTTCTCTCTCTCTCTCCTCCTCTCTCTCTCTCTGGTCTAGGTGCTGGTCTAGCAATCTTGCGGACCTGCGTTCAATCCCACGCCCGGCCAGTGAGTGGTATCCCCGTCCATTCCTTGCACACGGCGAGATTTGGGCAAAATAAAACAGACAGAATGTCACAGCAGAGAATATCCATTGTAACAAATGGAATTAAAACTAAATCTTTAATCTTTAAATCTCTCTCTCTCGAGGGAAATTGACACCAATGAGATCACTGAATACAATGAAAAGATTTTACACTAAACGCATTCAATTTAATGATAGGATGACACAGCGACTCCTCATAACTTATGAAGGGGAGAAAATCCCAAAAATCATCAAAATTCTGGATGGTATGGCATCTTTCAGGTGTGCTGTCTTCAAGTCACTCACCTTCTTTTGCGCCAACTGTTCCAGATGGGGCACGGGGCACGCGCTAGTCCCCGCGAGCAGCCTCGTTGCCGGTACTGCGCTGCCGTTCACATGAGCAGGGAATGCGCCGAAAAATTCGCACAGGGTCATCAAGTCTAGGAAAAGTGTTAACTGCAGACGAGAATAATGCAAACTCTCCATTATGTGCATATCATCCAAACGATAGAAAAACAAATTGATAAAGAAGCAGCAGGCTGTTCTGCCTTCTCGCAACCCCATCTCATTTCCTAGGCTTAACGATGAGGTAGAATTCCCCCCCCCCCCCCCCATCTTGGGAGGATAAATGTGGCGAGTTACATGAACGAAAACAGTCGGTCTCTCCAGCCTTAGTATCAGCTCCTTGCTCCAGCGCCCAGCGCCAGCTTCAAGGGTCTGCCTCAACCCTTCAGCGCCAGTTTCAGCACCTGCTCTAGCGCGGCATCAGGTCCGCCTCAGCCCCCTTCAGTATCAGTGTCAGCTCCTGCTACATCGGCATCGTATTCAGAGCCTGCTTTGACATCGACATCGCTTTCGAGTTCTGCAACACATGTTTCAGGACACACAGCAGTTCCGATTTCTGCACCTTCTGCCAGTGCCAACCCCTACACCACAGGAGAGACAGGGCCTACTGCAAATGTTGATGCAGAAAATAGAACAAATGATGGCCCCGAGTTTCACCAGACATCTGCAAGCCATTTGCACAAAAGAAGGGGTGTGTAATCAAACATACATTCACACACTTAGACAAAGACGCATACATACACGCACTCATGCACGCATGCACATACACTCGCACACCTGCAAACATACACATACACATATAGACACTCAACACACAACAAATGCGCACACACACGCAAATACATACAGACACAGACAAGAAAGTCACGAAAATACCATTTCCAGATCTCCAAAAGCTGATTGCGAAGTCGCCCGGGGATGAATGAGTAAAAGATGTGTAAAACATATATACCCAGGTTACAAAAAGTCCTATATACATATATATGTAAATGAATGAATACGTTTGTATGTGTGTGTGTGTCTCTCTCTCTCTCTCTCTCTCTCTCTCTCTCTCTCTCTCTCTCTCTCTCTCTCTCTCTCTCTCTCTCTCTCTCTCTCTCTCTCTCTCTCTCTATATATATATATATATTATTATATATATATATATATATATATATATATATATATATATGTATATATATATATATATATATATATATATATATATATATATATATATTATATGTTCGCTGAAATTTTAAACTTATCAAGATTCGAAGTTACAATCTCTTAAGGCAATCTACTCCCATGCCTACAAAGTGCAGTAAAAAGCATCTAAAAACTGATTTGTAGACGATCGATTTACATCAAATGTCATTGAATTGAGGGTCATAGAACTTCTGGTAACTCTTGCAGGTTGATAAAAATCAGAGAAAAAAATATAGAGGGGATGTGAAAAACCCTACGATGTCCAATGTCCAAATTTAAGTGAGACAGGAAAAATGTAATGGAATTAAAAGAACGATCAAACAGTCTTAAGTGTGATTCTGCTGCAGAACAATACTCAAAATGAGGCAGAATACAAGAAAAGAAGCATCTACGAGTAATATTGTCATCTTCATAGATCTTGCACTTGCGAATGATGCCTAACTTAGATGAAATTGCCCGCGCCATATTCCTAATATGCAATTCAAATGGAAGCTTTGAATCAAAGGTTACTCCTAAGAGCTTCAGGGTATCCACTGAAATGATACGACTCCATTAATCAGCGGTCTTGGATGCTGAGGCAACTGCGTTCGAGACCGACTCACAATCATTTCCTTAGACTTAGTAGGATTTAATTTCTTGCCCCACCAAGAACTTCACGAATGGATTATCATCAGGTCTACAGTGAGACTGAGCTATTTTTTGCCTAGTTGCCGGAGAAGGATTATCAGCATAGAGAGAAGTATCATCAACATATGCCAACATTTTATTAGTAATGCCAGACCACATATCGCTTATATATAAAATAAAGTACTAAGGGCCGAGAACATTACCTTGAGGAACCCCAGAATACGCTGCTGTCTACGGGTTAAAATACTTTAGACTCTGCTACCCAACATCAACAGACTGTAACAGAAACTAAACCCTTGTGATTAACAGTGTCGAAAGCTGCACTTAACTCCAGAGAGACAAGCCTTCACACATACGTGTACATATATGTGTGTGTGTGTGTAAATGCATATATATATATATATATATATATATATATATATATATAATATATATATAATATATTATATATATTGTATATATAATATACAGTGACAACGATAATAACGATAATATTAAATATAGTAATGATAATGAATGAGAGAGAGATAGAGAAAGAGAAGAGAGAGAGAAGAGAAGACTTGTCTAGGCCAGACTATCCCAAACCAGGATATCCAAAGAGATTTCAGCGACCCTACACTTGCACCAATTACTCATCTTTATATTCCATTCATATCTATCAAACAAATGATCACATTCAATTCAAACAGCGTTATTCTAGTGCTGTACATTAAGCAAAAAATATTATTCAAAGCATAAGCAGAAATACAAGTAAAATTCTCATAAAAAGCAGACGGTTTGTGTTGTTTCAAAAGGGATCATATTTAATTGAATTTTGGGAACCGCTTCTCTTAAACCAATGGAGGGCCTGAAGGTAGCGTGTGCTCGTCTGCCAGGCGTATAGACATAGAGTGTACTCATATAGAAAAGATGATGATGTATACATTCATTTATCTATATGGATAATTCCTCTCTCTCTCCTCTCTCTTTTCTTTCTCTCTCCTCTCTCTCTCTCTCTCTCTCTCTCTCTCCTCTCTCTCTCTCTCTTCTCTCTCTCTCTCTCTCTCTCTCTCTCTCTCTCTTCTCTCTTCTCTTCATCTCTCTCTCTCTCTCTCTCTCTCTCTTTATCATACAGCACACACACATATACGCACATACATACATTACCATACATTACAACTACACATATATACATTTATATATATTATATAATATATATATATAATATATATATATATATATATATAATATATATATAATATATATATAATATATATATAGTATATATATATATATATATAATATATATATATATATATTAACATACATATATTATATATAATATTTATTTATATTATTTATACAGTACACATAGTATATATATATATACTATATATATATATATATATATTATATATATATATATAATATATATATATATATATATATATATATAGTATATATATATATATATATATATATATATATATATATATAATATATTATATATGATATATTATATATTATATATATATATATATATAATATATATATAATATATATATATATAATATATATATATATATATAGTATATATATATATATATATATATATATATATAATATATATATATATATATATATATATATATATATATATATATGTATATATATATATATATATATATATATATATATATATATATATATATATATATATATATAATATATGGTATGTATGGTATATTATGTGTGTGTGTGTGCGTGACTGTGTGTGATAATATATGCGCATATGCAAATAGGCAAATGCATGCGTGCGTGCGTGTGCGCCTGTGATGTGGGTACCTGCATACAGGCATGCGCGCGCGTAGCTCCATATACAAAAAAAGAAAAGAAAAACAGACGCACAGAAACCTGAGCCTCGGACAGAATCGTAAGCGTGTCTCGCCAAGGCCCAAAATCCCGAGGAACAAAAGGCGGAATTGTCCTAATGACCTCCAGAGCGCGGGGCATAATGGCCGGCCAAGAGAAAAGACCAACGACACAAAACCCTCGATTTCCATTAGGAAGAATGAGA